GCATCGCCTCCCGCATCGCCTCCGCACCCCCGCCGCCGCTCCCAGCTCCCAGCTCCCAGCTCCCAGCTCCCAGCTCCGGCCTGGGGGACACTATTGCCGGTGACAACCCGGCCCCGACAGCCGGTTCCGGGGCGCGGCCGCTGCCCGGCTACGGGCCGGACGGGGAAGGCCCCGGTAGGTGTTGTTTAATAGACATAGAAAAGCATTGTACACCCTGTGTCCTGCTCTGCTGATTGTTTTTGCGGGCTCTGGATTTGTCACAGAGTGAATTATGGAATCATTGAGTGTTGAGTGTTGGGAGGGACTACGGATGCTGAATATGAGCAAAAGCAGGGAGCACAGTGCCTGTGGAAAAGCAGGCCGCAGAGCTCTCAGTCTCGCCTGAGAAAGTGGCCTGAGAAATCATGAGGAATTAAAACAATCCTCAGAGATAGAAGACAGCCTTGCAGGTGCTGTTTGTCAGTTTCTTGTTTTCTTGCAGAAGAAGGTGGAGGGGTGGTGTACTCCACTGTCCAGTGATGATGTGTTAATTCACTAATCAATAAGTTTTACCTTTCTGTACTTCCACATATCGGTCTATAAAAGAAGATCTGAGGTAATAAACCTCACCCTCCTGATCAACTCACAACAGAGTCTGTGTTGTGCTTCTCACTGTTCCCAGTAAAGCGACAAGGGACCTTGAAAATCATCTCGTTCCACTCCTTTGTCATGGGCAGGGACACTTTCCACTAGACTGGGTTATTTAGAAGCCACATGCAGCCTGGCACTGGACACTTCCAGGGGTGGGCCATATTTCTAGCTCACTGAGTGTCTGTGGTAATTTAATTAAGATTAATTTTATCCAGTGGTTTTACTCAAGGAAAGAAGAACTTTATGATAACCACTGTTATGCAAAAACCTGCTGCTAAAGAGGCTAAATAGAGGGATTCAGAAAAAGGGGTTTGCCTGGTAACTGCTTGAGGAGGTAGTGAAGAGATTTTTAAGATTATGATGATTTATGTTGGGAAGGAACATAACACTCATCCAGTTCCAACCCCCTGCCATGGGCAGGGACACCTTCCACTAGACAGGTTGCTCCAATCCCCATCCTGCCTGGCCCTGAACACTTCCAAGGATGGGGCATCCTTTTATCCTGCATAGGAAACTCTCCATCATTTTTGTGTGTTCTCAGCAGAATCAATTAATCCCTAAAAAACCTAACTAAATTAAAGATCATTGTCTGCAAAGCAATTGGAGAGATTATAGGTAATTCCTGCCACTTGCATGGTTTGGTTTGAAAAGCTGTTTTTTGTCCTTGTGGATTTGTCCTAAACCAAGTTCAAAATAATAATTTCAAACTCCATTCAAACTTTTGTATTCCAGCTTGCTCTGTGCAGCCACTGCACCATGCCAAGGAATTCTGCAGTAGTTGGGCTCCAGTGTAACTCCTGTTTGCTTCCTTTATGCAATCAGAGCATTACAAAGAAACTGAAACAGCCCAGTTCCGCTCCAGTTCCCAATACTAGCACTCCACCTTCCTTCCCATCCCCAAACCCAGACTGCAGGATATTGACTGAAAATTCATATCATAACTTGTGTTACATTGATTTCAATCACACTGTTCCAACCGTTCCATTGGGTTCTTAAATCAGTACAAAATTGAAAAGCTTGGAAGAAGTTTGTGGTGCCTCACAGTGCTGCATTAGGGAGAGATTTCCAGTAGGAAACTCCTCAGGTGCTTGCATGAAGTCCTCAGTGATGCTGAACAAAGTTGCTGTCAGTCTTAGTGGGTTTTACAGGATCAGCATGAACAGTGGCTTCAAGCTTTTCAAAAAATATAATTAAAATTTTAATTAATTGCATGTACTTAGGACATTCAAAACGATGTTGAGGAATTGGGAAATAGTTGACAATTGCTATTGTATTCAGTATATATCGAGTACAAAGTCACATGTAGAAGGAAAAATAAAATGGGCCAGTTCTAAGGTCAAAGAAAAAGATTTATGTTACAAAAGCAGGACTTCTATTTTCCCTCAACCTGTGAAGCATGGAGACAGGCTTTCCAGGGAAGTGGTGGAGTCATCCAGTGTGAAAAACAGAGTTCACTCTTTAGAATTTTTAAAAGATTAATAAGGGGATTGATAAGAGGATATAAATGTCCAGTGCTGGGGTGTTTCTGGCTATTGGCCAAAGAACACACCAGCAGATTAAGACAGTGTTATTTATGTACTGTTACATTACTGAGGTATATGCATATTAATCTGTTTCATATATGATTCAAACTTTCTTGTGAGCTTTTTGATGTTTCAGAAACTCTTGTTTGATTTTACACACCATCTTATCTGCAGGACATCCTGTGGTTTAAGTCCATATATTTTTATTTCTTCTTGTGTTTCCATCCTTTTATTTCACACACCCTGATAAGTAGTTAACAAGTTCTTCTATAATTCTTCTTCAGTGCTCTAATTTGTGTCAGTTATCACTTAGAGAGGTTGATCAACAGATGTGGGGGGAGCAAGCATAATTCCCTTCTCTTAGTAACACCGTTCTCTCAGTTACTTAAGAGCATTTTAACATTTCATGTATTGCTAAGACCTATGATATAGTACATTCATCACACCACTATTTCTACAAGCTATATGGTGCAAAACTAATAGATTGTGTTACACCAATAAGCAGCCAAAAGGAGTTACAATTTGTACCATATCCAAATACTTACAACATGTAAAAGCTAATACATAAATGCAAAAGCCAATATTATATTGTAGTTTTTAACATTTTAACTTAAGTGTTCAAAAAGCGCGTGGATGTGGCGATTGAGGACGTGGTTTATTGGTGTGGTGATGTGGTGTGGCTGGATGATCTTAGAGGCCTTTTCCATCATAATGATCCTACAATTCTCTGCATTTCTAAGAGGTCGTGCCCAGCGGGAGGCACTCAGGACCGGGACTCGGTAGCTTCCAGGAGCAGTTTGGGTGATTTTATTCTGGAAGGATGCAGAGAGGGCCCTGAGGCTGCATCAGCTGTGCCCAGGCCCGTTTCCTTAGCCTCCAGCCACGACCAGCAAAACCACTAGCGTTGTGTGTCTGGGCTGTGTCCCGGTGCTGTGACACCGCACTGGGCTGGACACTGTCTGTCGCGACAGCTTTCCATCCACAGTGACACCACAGGGAGCACATTATCGCTCATCATACCTCTCTGGGCTAGACGTGTTTGCCGTGACACCTCACTGGGCAGGACACCGTCTGTGTGGCACCCGCTGTCCCTCAGGCGGAACCAGGCACGGCTGTGGCGGTTCCCCGTTCCGGTGTTTGCCGGGACCCCCCGTTGCTGCCCGTGCCCCGCCGCTGCCCGGGCTGGGCGGCACGGAGGCGCCGTGAGGGAGCGGAGCACGGCCAGCCCGGCCCGCGCGGTGCATTGTGGGTAGGGCCAGCCACCGCCGCCATTTTGTCTCTGTCAGGAGCGGCGCAGGCGGTCGGGGCGAGGCGGCCGAGGTGGTGTCTGGCGAGGGGGATCCGG